ATCATGCTGACTGCCAAATTCAGCTTCTCATTACGTCATAATTTTAATCCTTCACTTTTGGGTTCTGTCCTTTAACTTTGAACTTCTAGGCTTACTGTGCTAGGTTTACAAGCGAGACAGTATTCTGGCTTTGAAAGGACACAGAATATATTCAAGAGTTTCTGAAGAATGGAATTTGAGATGGTTTCCCTTCCAATGTGTTCTGTAAATGCTCCCTACTTCTGTCAACTCTCTCCAGGGCATGGTGTCTGGAGAGACACAGTAGGCCTAAAGCACAGGAAAATAACCATGGTGATTCAATCCACTCAGTAATTCCCAGCCTAGGTCTCCTGAAAGTCTGCCCCGAAGCTGCTCCTTCCTCTATACAGGATAAATCAATCAATTGATTTTGATCCCTGAATTTTTGCTTTTTCACTTTGCAATCTATTATAGTTGGCTATCTAGTAATATGAATGACTCTGCTATATGTGGGTTTACAGTCAGGGTGACAGATACTCATTCCCTCAAGTGTGTCATTTGACATGAAGGTAGACACTGCATGGAACTTGCCTTTTAGAATCAAATCAGAAATCTTTACCATGTAGGTCTTTAGCTTATTATTCTGTTTACGTGGCAGAAAATTCATTCCAATATAATATCTTCCCACTGAAATTAAGAACCTCCACTGAGGCTGCAGTACAGGAAATGTTCATAGGTTCAGTCACTGCAGTTATGGGACAAGAGGAGCTGTAATTTCAGGTATGTGGGTCTCTTTGGCCTGGAACACCCAAAGGTTTCAGGCCACCAACAAGGGGATGCACAAGTCTTAATCAACACAAGTGTCTTCATCACCAGAAAAACCCTTTGGTCATTACAGGGAAAGAAACTGACTGAAACACATAGAAAGACATACAAACACACACAAATGCAAACACACATGCAAGAGATAGAAGAGACAGAGATATACACAGAGAGACAGACAGACACACAGAAATACAGAGAGTGGGATCAAGAGAAGTGTCTTTATTCTCCCTGAGGTTTTCTTCAATCTCTTTCTGCCTGGAACCACTCAGTGTACAGCCCAGGCCAGATGACTCATGATTCCATTCCCACAGGCTCTGAAGAGCTAGGGTCCATAGGGTGTACCACATATACTTCATACACTTACAAGTATTTTTTACTATCTCTTCTTCCCACCTGTTCCAACCCTCTTACTATTGTCTATTTTATGATTTAAAAATTCAAGTATTTATATCCGGTCCTCAGAAGGTTGAGGTAGGCAGATTACTATGTTTTTGAGCCAACGTTGTTGATAAAGTGAGTCCAAAGACAGCCAAGGCTGTGTAAGTACATACCATTTCAAAAACAGTAAATAAGAGAATGCAAATCAGGAGGAAAGTTATTTTTCATTATGTGTGTAGGGGTTAACACATTCAGTTTAAAATAGCCTTGAGACAGACTTGGGAGGATTGCTTATGTACAGGAAGGTTATTGTAAACACAAATTCACTCTAAATGTGTCAAAAATAAGTATGTTTTCTCTTAGTATGTAATGAATGTGATATTCTAAGCATCCCTTGCTGACCTAGGCCTGCATTGGGAAACTGAGGTGGCAGAAATCTACTGAGTTTGATAGCTGTGTCTTTGCATACTAAATGAGATTCCCCCTACAAAACAAAGACAATCTCATTGAACCCCTAACCCAATGTCAACTCCTTCAAATATGAACCTGTTCCCCAAAGGAGAGATTCTGAAGCAGGAAACACTGGTGTCCTGCTGTAAATTATATTCAGGACATAAAAGCAATCTGCAGTGGCTGCCTGGAATACTCAGCGGGTTTAAGTGGATCAAAGAAAGTACTTATTTGAGATGAGGCTGATTTTCTTGAGGGGCTTAATCTCTAAAAACTAAAACAAACAAAACATAAATAAAAGAAAAATCAAGACTTCAGTTTTGCACAATTTTTAAACATAGTTGAGCAGAGACATGCTCATCAAGAAGGATATGTAAGTAATGAATAATGTGTAATAATTAATAAAAATCAGGGCTGATGTAAATTTTCCTTCCATCCTCTAGATCCAGATTAAGGGTGTGTGTATTCTTCCCTCAAAAGTAACCGTTTCAAATGGATCTGTCTACTTCAACTTAAGCAATAATTTCTCACAGGTTTGGTCTACATTTTTGAGTATTGTTAATTCCAGGTATTGAGGGTTGAGAATCAAGAATAGTTATCTCAAGTGTGTTTACATTGAGTGCAGCTATAAACAGCATTAGGGAAGAAGGGTTTTCCTGAGTATGTCAGAGGTCTTAGTTTTCACAGAATAGACATTAGATAAAGAACCCATAAATTGTGAGAGTGAAGCAGAGCCAGGAAGTCCTTTTGGTGGCTCTCCTCTTTCTTACCCTATATACTATCAGGAAGCACATTGCCCGGATGACTCCAACAAACTGTAGTGGTGGTCTTTTCCCTGCCTCTCAGATGATCATGCCTAGAAAAAGTATTTCTGCCCAATCTATGAGAGTGGTTAATGAATATTCTAAATCCTTCTCCTGTTACTCACTTACATTGAGTCTCAGTAGGTCATATACTCCCTCGTCCACTGGTACTTTCAACCACAGAACTGACATGCTTATTCTTCTGGTCCCTAAAGTGAGATATTATTCTAGTTTCCTTGAAATGCAGACTATATTCAACAGAAACCATAGAGGGAGGGGATTTAAATGGATTTTCTTCGGTAGAGCGTTGATCAAAATTCTCTGTACACATCAAGTCTCCCCAGTTATCTTATCTTGGAGAGTACTTGTAAGCCAAGATTACAAGGAAATAGGTTCATAGATGGAATCAGCACAGCCATTCCCAGTCTGACTCTTTGTAAATCTGGCTACAACACTACTTATCTGTCAGTAGAAGATAATTCAATCAATTGGTTTTGATTGTTTATTTTTACTTTATTTTAACTTTGGTAGAATGATAGCAGGTGGTAATTTAATAACATAGGTGATTTTTCACTAGGTGGATTCGGAGTCAGGGTAATAGCTATTCCATCCCAGAAAACATTCCTTTGAAGGGGTTATATTTGTTAATTTCAAGACCCCATATATGAAGGAAGATGCAGTTCGGTAACTGTTGAATATATTCAGAACCCCTTTGGAAACCAGAATGCTCTTACAATTTTATGTCTAGAAGAGTAAGCCTGGGAGGTCAAAGATTGAAGAAGACAGACTTACGAGTGAGGGATGAAAATTATGAAGAAATGAGAAGCTTTGTTCTGACAACCAGCAAAATGAGAGCAAAATGAGAGGACTTTAGGGATTTCTGATAGCACATATTTAAGTGGATCAGAATTTGTGTTCAAGGAGGATTAAGAAAAGAGGAAGGGCAAGACCTCCAGTGAAATTTGGTGGAGCCATTCCTAGGACAGTGAGTTTGGATGGAATGAAAGGTAGGAAAGAGGACAACCATTTTCAGAGGATCCTGCTTGGCCATGCTTAATGCCCAGCATGAATGGATTCTTCCATCCTGAGCTCCATATAGTGAACACTGACAGAAAGAAACATCTTCTTCCTGGATCATGTTCTTGGGAAGATTACTTTTTTCACAAACAGGTATTTCTGTGTAACAGCTCTGGTGGCTGTAGAACTAACTCTGTATACCACGCTGTCCTTGAACTAACAGAAAATGCCTAACTGTGACTCCTAAGTGCTGGGATTAAAGGTATATGCCACCACAGTGGGGCGTTAGGAATATTTAACAACATGAGAAGAGTAAAAATCAATTGTGTAGGAATTGAAATCATTTCTTTATTTATAGAAGAATAGTTTGGGAAAGCAAAATGCACTTGTTATGGTTATTCTTGCTTCCCAAATAGACCACCCCTGGAATTAAATAAAATATCCTCAAATGGATGGCACAAGTGTGAGGAATGTTTTCCATGAGTTTTAGTAGAAGATCCATTTGGAATACTGAATTTGAAGGTAGAAAACACAAGCATAAGAACAGAAGTACCAGGCCTAAAGACACACACCTTTAATCCAGATCTTTGGATAGGAGACACACCCTAAATTGGGATACACCTTCTTCTGGAAGCATATAAAAGACATGCAAGAAGGAAGTTGCAGCACTCTGACGGCTTGCACTAACCTTTCAGCAAGTCCATCATTTCACTGCCATTAGAGAATGCTTATTTGAGTTTCAGCATCTACTGAAGAGCACCAGATATATCCTACCTCCAGGACTGAGTAAGTACTGGATTCTTATACTTTTCCTTCACAGCTGAAATTGTGTGATTAACAAGAATGCAGCCCTATGTCATTCTAGGTTAGTCTCCTTCTTCATCCAGAGAGGTTCATTCCATATGTTCTGTTGCTCTAGAGAACCCTAGCACAACAATTTTGGATATAAGTGTAAAAATGTTCCATATGTTTCAACATTTGAGTAAAATTGTCAAAATAGTTACCTGTTGACCTAAGATTCAATCTAGAAAAGAAATCTGAGGGATGTAACTTTCATTGTAGCATAAACTCTTTTCTCTGAAACTAATTTTGAAATCTTGATAGAAAATTTCAGAGAGATATCCAAGTTTCCAGCAGAAAAAACCGCATTCTCCACAGAGAGATCCCTGCAGAGGACATCTCTGCACATGACCTTCAAACGCTCCAGGCCATTCTTGTCAGCAGCTGCCAGGACAGCAGCTGCCATGCTGTGGAGGTCTGGTGCCTTCCCGGTGTAAATGAATTCCATCATGGCCTTCAAAACTTGCGGCTCCAGATCAAGGATCTCAACGCGGTTTATTCTGCTCTCCTCCATGTCATGTTCAAACATAGCTCTGAAAACTGGAGAGCGAGCTGCTAAGATGGCCTTGTGAGCACTGAATTCCTGGCCAGCTACCAGTAGGCTGCAATCTGTGAACAGAGAATTCTCCCACAGCTGTCCTAGCTCATCTGCCATCGTGCACCTTGGAACCTGGATACCTGGCACCTTGCTGTCCTCAGAGTTCATGAAGGAGTCTTGGACCGCCAGGTCCACATCGCATAAGACAGTGAGTTCATTGTCTGGGAGATGCCAAGACTCCAGACTCAAGAGCAGATCTCGATGGATGAACTTTGTGAATCCCCAGTGTTGATTTGGCGTGAACTTGAAGAATCTTGGGCTTATCATACTTGGGTTTTCTCTCTGTCCATACTCAGGATCGAAAACTGGAACCTTGCCCACACTGGGCTCCTTGGGCAGCTGAGCAATGTTAGGTGAACTGACAAGTAATCTTTTCTGTCTTCGTCAATCCT